GGGGGCGTAGATCACAGGATAAATAATCATTAATTCAAAATTCACAGTAACAAATAACTACTTGCTCGAACGTTAATTTGATTTGAGTTTGGTAAGCTTACACATGTACTTGGAACAACTGTACGCGGCACGTACGCCAAAATGAAAGCGAAAGCGTTCACCAGTCTTCATAAACTCACCTTGTCACATATCATTTTATAGGTGAGATCCTGGCCAAACTGCGGCAACCTGATGGCTACCCTGTCCGGCTTTTCCCTGGCCGCTTCCTGCAGGCATTCCCACACCGTGCGTCCCACTAGAGGCTCGCTGCTGGCCCCGTGGATGTAACTGTTCTTTAACGGTTCGTTTGGAGGCGTGGCATCGCTGGATACAGAGGTGAAAAAGAGTAATATGAAGTATACTGCAAACACCGATTGATATAAGTGCGACTTAATGAATTAAAATAACAGAAAGACAGGCAGTCAACCAAACAGAAGGCGAAAAAGACAGGCAGACAGACAAATAGACTAGAAGACAAACAGACAGGCAGACAGGCAAATAGACTAGAAGAAAAATAGACAGGCAGACAGACAAACGCTATATTACCCTTGGTTTTCAACAACTGCCTTCCACATCTCGTGCCGTGTTGTGAGACGTTAAGGTTGTTGTGCACAGAGGTAAATGTTGTCATGGGTGTTTATATAGTGATGTCAAGTGGTCTGGGACATGTAGGTAGATCAGGGTCACCACCTCGTGATTTCACACTAGTTTTGCATGCGGTAACGTGACACACTCCCCCATAATAGAGAGTCCGTTATCCATTCATTTGTACAGGTAAGCCTCGTCCTAGATTTTGACCCACTTAGGTCAGGCTAACCCTAACCATTATAACTATACTTAGTATGTAGGGCGAACTTTCTGTTACACGGACCCTCAGTAATAGATAGACCCCGAGTCAGCGAGGGTTATGTAATAGATAGACCCCGAGTCAGCGAGGGTTATGTGGCATGCACGAGTGCATAGCACGAGTGGATGTCACATAACCCCCGCTGACGAGGGGTCTATATCTTACTTAGACCACGGTCCATGATCGGGTTATAACGCATTCATGCGAGACGTGGGGTTATGCGAGTTACACCACGTCTGAGTCTTTTGTTCTTCACTTCCACCGTGGTCTAATATAACATAAACCCTAACTTAAAAAAAAAAAAAAAAAAAAAAAAGAGACTTACTTTGAATGTAGAAATGGATTCATTAACCATTGGTAGGTATGGGAAAATTGTTGTTTACTCCGGGAAAATTAATTTTTTTGGCCAAAACGAACAGTTATTATCCCTCTAACCGTACTATTTCAGCGCACAATGTGATAAATATTTCTGACCAAAAAGAGTCAAACTAATTTCTGTTGACTCCCACACCCACTGTTAAGGAGTGAGACGGGAAGAAATATAGGCACCACTAGAGGGCACCACAGACCTCTGACAAGGGAAACAACGTCTGATAGGAAGAACAGAAACCAAATCCCTTTAGAACATTAGAAGACCCGCCCTGAGCTTCAGAGATAACTTGAAACAAAACTCTCCCGTAACTTGCAACGGCAAAGGTTTTCTTTAGTGTAGAGGTTTGTTTTAATTTATCTCTGAAGCTCAGAGTGTACTGTAGAAGACCCGGCCGGTGTAGCAAGAATGGAAGTCCAGACTTTGATATGATTAGTACATGTTAGGGTTAGTTGGGGTATTGGGGTTAGTAAATGGGACGAATGTCACCTGTACAAAGTAATGGGTAGCGGACTATGGTTCCTAGCGGACTTCCATTCTTGTTACACCGAATTCAGTTGAAATCTTTATCGCGTTTTTCCCTTCTGAATTACTGCCTATGTTGAAATTTAATTATATCAATTCCACCAAGGTTTTTTTTTAAGTTATCTTGGTCACTAACGCTGATTAAAACATTACTTCTCTCGTTGACATACATGTAGGTAATGAAACCATCAAACATCACACTCCATACTGAAGTGTGACAATCCCAGGCTTTCTGTAAGTAATAGAAATATCAACATTAATTTTCTACGACAAACTGCGCATGAGTAGTTTTATAGCCCCGCTCAGCCTGGCCGACTTTCTTAATAGCGCTCGGTTTTAGAATCAAAATCAAAATCAAAGTTGTTACTGCATTTATACGTTTTGTTTTTGCTCTTTATTCACTATATGACAAATTTTTTTGGCGAATCTGGAAAATCTTGGTTAGCAAAGCGTTAATTGCTCCTTAATCAACTTCTGTTTTTTGGTTTGGTGTTGCTGGAAGGGGGAGCTTTAGGGTGGGCTAATAATAATAATAATGATAATAATAATATAAAAGTCAATTCAGGTATTGGTTTTAGAGACAAAAGTTTTATAGCTATTTTTTTAAATTGGCTGGAGTTGCTGCATGTTTTTCAAGTACATTAATTACAACTAGAAAAGCACTCAGAGAGCGCAGACCTCCGCCAAGGCAGCAAAGTCTTCATCCGATGCCGTTTCACCCCTTAATTTTCGATATTTTTGATTATTGATTGATTATTGATTCGGATCACCACCAAAAACTAATCATCTATTCCTTGGCCCACTTCTGACAGTTCCTGAAAATTTCATCAAAATCGGTTCATAACTTTTTGAGTTATGTTGATGACAGACAGGCAGAAAGACAGACAGACAGACAGACAAACAGGGGTGAAAACATAACCTCCTTGCCGGGAGTAACGAGGAGACTATTCCATTCATTAGTAGCAGAAACTTGCATAGTGCATAAGAAAGTCACCATTTTTTTTTTTTTTAATCTAACTTAATATACATGGTATCAGTAATTATTGATAAAGTGACCTCAGCGTATGATTTTATGTTTAACGAACTTCATAATATGTAACGAGGGGGGGGGAGGGGGGTAGATACGTGTATATTGCATGCATAAAACTACCAATTAAGTAATAACTCAAGGTTTTGGATATGATCCGTGCTGTATCAAGGAGCCAATGTTACCGTTTTTAAAGTGGTGTAGTGCGCTTTTCCCTGGGTGTGCAGATTAAGTTGCGCGCTGAGATATTAAGTTTACGTGCTCATCTTTACCTTTTACATGCTTTAAATTTCATTCTTTGTATTTTTTGTTAAAAAGTCTAAATAATTTAACAGTTTGCAGAACAACCAAGGCGTGTAAGGCCTACTAGAACCTGAATCGTGGGGATCTAGACTAAATGAATATTAGGAAGAAGAAAAAAAAAAACACTATTGTCGAAGTTTTTCTGGCGGGAAGCAAAATATTTTTCCTCAGGCTACCCGTCTAGCAGGTCTAGGGAGTCAACATCTAGGTCCCAGAATCCGTTCAGGGAATTAGGATATTTTCGTCTTAACTTCACCTTACTGCAAACAGACGTGACTTTAACCGTACACAGAAAACAACTTGTACCAGTAGGCCTACAAATACGTTTAATGAGACCGCTGTAACATAAGCCTTGATGTGAATTTGGTCGTTGTTTTCAATATTAGCCACCAGATGACGCTACTGACCAAGAGTATTTCATCGTGCTTTATAAACCTTGAAGTAATATGCTTTATCTCTCTTGTCTTGTTTTTAAATAGCAAATTAAATATATGATACAGATGTATGTGCATTTCACTCACTTGCCGAAGAAGTGAGACAAGAAAACTTGGGTTTTGCATTTTAGATCGTCTTGGTTGACGCGCGTGGGCTACGCATGCGCATAGGCGCCGCTACCTCCTGCACTTCCTGTGTACTTGTCTGAAGGGGTGCAGGTTGTAATCTTTATTTTGATGTTTCTCCACATGACAACTGATGCCGGAATAATTTAGTAAGAAACTTGCATCTTAAGGATTCAAAGATGGCACTGACAAAGGGCTTGTTGTTGCGCTCCCTCAGTGTAGCCGGCTTTCAGTCGACGAAATTGACAAGTCAGTTGGTCGTCCCTGCTACTCCGCTCGTCGTGCAAGCTGCAACCATCACTAGAGGCCCAAAGAAATGGCCGAAGTACCCCTTCCCGTACAAGAGACTGAGATACAGAATGTGTTACAGACTATTTTGGCGTGGAAACGGTAATCTAGTTCCTAACGAATCGAAGGTTATCGTTGTCGACGGCAACGCTGCGGTTGGAAAATCCGAATTTGCGAAGGAGTTGGCAGAAAGATTGGACTTCAAAATGTTCGATGAACCCGAGGAACTCTTCTCGCGATATTATACCTGGGCTGGACAGCCTGATGATCCAAAAGCTATGAGTCCAAAAGATGCTCAGACCTACCATTTTCCGCAGTTTTTTTCTGATCCTGGCCGCAATAGAGGGGCGTGTATTGGGCTGCAGTTGGAGTTGTTCAAGTTGCGATATTTTCATTATTGTAAAGCGTTGAACCACCTTTACAGCACAGGTAAAAAGAGAATAAATAAATAAATATATAAATAAATAAATGATTCACTTCAAAGTTAATTGATACTAGATACGTATTGAAATAACAATGTTTGAACGTCCATGGGAATGCGTCCGTGGCACTGGGTAGCAACAAAGGGCATCAAAATTTCAACATGGCGCTGATCCTGTGAGAATGCCTTTCACTTAGAATATGCTTGGTATTTTGCTTTAGCATCATAAATTTTGGAAAACGTAACATTAAACACATTAAAAATTATCAGGGAAACGTACACTTATAACTTCACAGAGTTGAGCATGCACGCTGCAATCCTGAATTGGCAGTTAAACAGGGAGGACATGTAATCATCTGTAGTGTATTACATGCCAAAAATTGGGAACTAGATATGGCTATTTTAATTAGTCTCATGTTATATTCATGTGAATGGAAATGTCCACTATTTACGCTATGTCCCTTGGGCGTATCTGAATGGGGAAACAAAACTACATGCTAGCTGTGGATATGTTGTTGTGCGAGTCTGAAGGAATTGAAACAAGATTGGGTTATAACATCTTTGATTACATGCTTGGATAACAGGACTTCCTTACACCTTGTTGTTTTATGACGAGCGGTATTTCAAGAATTTAAATCCCAAAATTGATCGATTTGTTTAGTTCACATGTATGAGATATCCAACTTTGTACTGAAGTTAAAAACAAACAATGGTAATGCACAATAACCCATTTTCTTCACCCATCAAAATTTGCCACGAAGAATGATCCCTGAAATGACCAAAAAACATGACAGTACCATTCTGAGAGCTTTCTTTTCCATAATGTACAACAGACTGGTATGTCTGTGTCACAGATTTAAGGGCTGTTTGAGTGTCATTTTCTGCTAAGAATTAATAAGTTTATACTACAAAGCAATGTTTGGAAACACAAAGTTGTTTGCTATAATAAGACAAATCCATCCCCTTTCACATGAAAGCACCCCCATTGTTATCCAACACACAGGAATATTTTGACAGACTTTTAAAGATGATAACCTGTTGTTGTTACCTAGAACTGTGGAGGTGCACATTTATTAAAGCTGATGTCAGTTGCCACAGTTTTCTCAGAGAATAAGATGATAAATGGTAAAGATAATAGATTCAATTGATCACTGGCAACTCTTGGAAATTTAATGTTGTGCATGTATATAAGCTTGACATTGTTGGTAACAATTTTGTTTGTTTTGTTTCAATGTAGGCCAAGGTGTTGTGCTAGTGCGTTCCCCATTTAGTGACAGAGCATTCGTGGAGACCTACTTTGATCTAGGCTTACTGCCAGGAGCCGATTGTAAGTATTGAATATATAATCCAATAATTTCTTCATCGAAGTTTTTTGTTTGAAGGAATTCCTGCCTTCATAAATTGTTAAAATAAGTAGGAAAAAGGGAAAAGTCATTTTCTTTAAAATGAAGTAAATCATCTTTTGCATTTGAAGGCGGTTTAATGTATTGTGTGGTCCTTCCTTAGCTCTTCCTGTGGATTTGATGGTGACTATGACCCCATTTCCAGAGATTAGATCGATCTACTTTAGATCGACCTAACTCCCCGGAGGTTCACGCTAAATAGCTGTCAGCCGAGCGAACACGAAAGTTAATTATCCCCTTATGCCCCTATTTCACACAGACCACGAATCCCACGAATGGCCATGAATTGACAAACTTCAGGATTCGTGGTTGAATCGTAATCAGCTTGTGAAGTTCTTAACAGATTCGTACATATTCGTAGTCAGTTCTTGCACTTCTTGACCAACAGGAATTGGTGGCAAAAACTTTGATGCCCCTATTTCACACAGATCACGAATCCCACGCATCGCCAGGAATTGAAAATTTCAGGATTCGTGTTGAATCGTAATCAGTTCGTGAAGTTCTGAAAAGATTCGTATATAATCATAGACAGTTCTTGCAATTCTTGATCAATCGGGAATTCATGGCAAAAAATTTGAGCCGTTCAAAGTTTTGGCCACGAACTCCAGATTCCAAAAAATTGTAGTGAATTTCTGGACAATATTCGTGCGATCCCAGCCGAATCCCACGAATATTCGTAACACTATCGCACCTGTATCGTAACTGAATCATGAGCGTGCCGAATTAGACCAGAAAATTGGCAAAATCTCACGAATCCTTACGGATCCTGAAATTTGTCAATTCCTGGCGATTCGTTGGATTCGTGGTCTGTGTGAAATAGGGGCCTTACAGCTTGTAGTAGGCGGGACGGACATTTAAGCCGGATTATCTGACAGTATTCTAGTGAGACTCCCTGCGGGGATAGATCGATCTAAAAGCTATGGGAATACAGCCTATGATAACAATTCACACGTTATAATTTTTAGGGCGTCGGGAGTTTGAGATGTTTCAGTGGAGAATTCTGGATGACATCCCTACGCCCCACCTGACCATCTACCTGGACGCGCCCATAGATCACCTGATAGACAGGATAAAGGAACGTCAGCTCGTGAGTAGATGTCACTGGAAAGATTGAAATCAAAGCAGATTTTAAATCCGCCTTGGTGAAATTGATATCCAAAGTTACAGACAACTGAAAATTATAAATTGACTATTGGCATGCAGTCAAAAGAATTTGGAGCAAAACATCAATGTTTTGTATCCCCTATTAGCAAGGTTGTTAATAAAAGAGGTTCTTAAGCATGTGTGTGTGTGTGTGTGTGTGTGTGTGTGTAATATTAGATGTTTATTCTTGAAAGACAAGGAGGACTAAGGCTTGATGTTCAACATGCTGTATGTTCTGTTTGTTACAGCCATTTGAAGTGGACAACCTTGAATTCACCAAGGAGTTCATTGGGATGCTGGATTATTGGTACAAGAGGGCCATGTTACCATATTATGAGTAAGTTACTGTGAGGTATTTTATGGCCCCATTCAGAATAGATGATCTGAGTACTAACTGATCTGCTGACTACTAGTAAATATGGCCAACCATACCTCAAAAGCGATGTCGCTTATTCCATGATGGTCTTCCCACCTCCACATGCACCACTAAACAGATTTAATCTTGGCTCCGAGATTTAATTGCTAGGCTGCTGATATCCAGATTTCATGGTCGCCTGTTATCCTATTTTATCTTGTATTTCCAGTTTCATGGTCGCCTGTTATCCTATTTTATCTTGTATTTCCAGATTTCATGGTGGCCTGTTATCCTATTTTATCTTGTATTTCCAGATTTCATGGTGGCCTGTTATCCTATTTTATCTTGTATTTCCAGGTTTCATGGTCGTCTGTTATCCTATTTTATCTTGTATTTCCAG